TTTTTTTTTTTGCATAATAAATACACACCGACTGGATTACAAAAAAGGTAACGTGTGTGTGTGTGTGATAACATGCTGAATATTTATAGTGTATGTTAATGTTTGGCTGGTTAATATTATTTATATGCATAACGTGAGTCACCTGAGATGATTAATTTTTTTTCGAATTAGCATTTGACATTTGATTTAATTTTTACTTGCGTTAAATATGGTCACGGGGAACGCAAAAACCGTAAATCTTTATTGTTTTGACAAAATTGCCGTTTTTTAAATATGTATGCTGTAAGTTTTCCCCTTCGTATTCCTTCCGGGCGAAAGTAGCCTGTACCGAAATGGTTAAACGCAGCACATTGTAGAAAGTGTGCAAAATGCATTTCAGATCAGATTCCTGGGTAGTTGGACACACGAGTATGGCGGTCAAGTCTGACCGTGTAAAATATTGTGCACTACATATGAAGGCCAAAATGGTCATCTAAAAAACATAGGTCGAGCAATAAAACCACTGTCGACGGGTGTCTATGCGGTGCGACGGTACCGTGCGGTTGTACTGTTAAGTTCTAAGAAGTATTTGCAAAAAAATAAAACAATGTTGAAGTAAATGGAAACGGAAAACCCATTAAAACCGTTGAAAACAGCTATTATAGGGGCACAATCGGACGAAAAGGTGGCAAGGTGAATATATTAATGGCCGGTTAAAAAATTCCTGCTGGACCGTCTGCGCAAACGGATTGTGTTATACATTTACAGTGGATTCAATACACATAATACGGTGCCGGTAATATCAAGTATACAGGGTGTTTCATTGAAGAAAAATCCGTAATAAACCACCCTGTACACTATATTATATAGAACGTAAGTAGTCGGAATGCAGTGACAACTACCACAATGCAATCACTACATATACAACCTCGCAAGACCAATAGGATTATGTTTAAACAAGAATGTAATTAATTTGATTCGATATTATGTAATACATTTTTACAATATAAATATGTTACCTAATTGTACACTAGTATAACTAGGCGCTTAATTAATTTAAAACTGATCATTTTGATACAAAGATGTGTGTACAAAACAGCCGCTTATTTAAATTAGACTGATTTAACTAATTTTTCTGATTATGTAACTATCGTTTTGAACACAAATGAATACATTATAACAGTTTTTAATTAAAATATATATACATGTTTTGTATGAATATAGAAAACCATATAATTCAATGCTCCATAAGAGTTAATATGCATTAATTGCAAGACCAAAATAATGTACATCTATATATTTTACTTTAATGTGACAGAACTCTTTTAAAATGTTATACTTTTTTTTATCCACCACAATGTCACCCCACAACTTATCAATATTATATTACATACTGTATTTAAAATTTTAATAAATTCTGTTTTCGGCTTGACCAAAGAAGTGTTAATGAAATTAATTTATACTTATTTAAAGCATTTAAAATTTACTCCAACAGCCCCTTTGTAAAAAAATTTTATGGTAAAAATGTCACTACTAATATATAAGTTAAAAAAAAATTAAATATGTCTTTTCCATTGAGAATAAGATTTGAACAATATGTTTGTAGTAACCTGAGCATACATAAAATATGTACTGTAAATTTGTACAGACAATAAAAATAAATCTTTTCAGCTCGAATAGGCCAATTAGAAGAACTCCGAGTGGAAAAAATTGGCGATTTTCGGTTGACTGAAAAGTCAAACATTATAGCCCTAGGTCAATGCCGGGTCATGGTCGTCCAGAATAGATTTACTTGGTCGGTATAGTAATTTTTTTTTTCTATTCCCAAAAGTATACTTATTCATAATCACTGGCATAATGTACGACACGTAATCGTTTTTTCAAATGACATTACCGAGAACTAATATATTATTTTAGCCATGTTTATTTAACACGGTCGAGACGAAGCTAGGTAAAATTGGAATTTTAACTTTTAAGACCTTGGATTTTTTTTGCTGTCTTATTAACTTTTATGTTCGGGTTATTTAACCTGCAGCGTTTAATAATATTACTGTTGACAATTACACGATTTTGTTGACAAAAAAAAAAAAAAACATTAAGTGACAGGTTCTGATGGATATTCAGTCATCTCTTGCTAAGCGACCTAAAAACATTTGTAATTTGTTAAAAAAAAGAAATCCGTTCAATGTGTGTAAATATGTTATAAATAAAGTATGTTAATAATTGTCAAATTGGACAAATTCTGCCATAATTGTATGTTTTTTACACGGTCCTTCGAATGACTCTTCGAAGTCCGCCCAGTATTTTATTGCTGGTATAATATTTGATGAGAAAAATTACTTGATTATTCTACATGTTATGTTTTTTAATTGGATAATAGGTATGTGTTTTTTTTTTTTTTTTTTACTGAGAAACTGTGTTAAAGTATTCACGCGAGTACACAATATTTCTGTGTGCACGTTAACCTTTACCCATTTTTAATTATTTCACGGGGGAAAAAAATATACACCGAAAATAACATGTTTCAGATTAATTACTATGTCGGCCATCAGCAATTGTCTTGTCCTCGTTAGATCACACAAACGCAGTAGGCATTACAAAACTCATACGGTCGGATCAGATATCCGAAATGCGCATAGGACGATTACCTACCTATAATAAATGCACGAGGTCAATAGAAGACATTATTATGTATTATGATTAAAATGAAAACCGAAAGTCGATCCGGGCTTACGCGGGAAACCACCTGTTATTTCCCGCACTAAGAGAGGGGGGGGGGCCACATTTTTTTATAATATCTGTATATCATTGTACTATATTATTATGATATTATATGGTTTTACCGAAGTGCGCACTGACCTCCTCGCATTGGTGCAATTAATTTGGAAGTACACAAAACCGCTGAACTTGTAATGTCTATAATATTGTATCTTGTCAATTTAATTTTTGTGATAATAAAAAACCTAAAAACTTAAAACGAGCGCCTTTAAAATCACCTACTCTTACTTTTTAGTGAAAGATTTGCTGTTGAAATAATAATAAGTGTAGCACTATTTTTAAGTTTAAAGGTTTTTAGAATCTCAAGCATAAGTAATAACAAGATATATATTTCTTAACTGTTAATAATATCCTATTTTGTATGTATTCAAGAATATTCTTATTAACTCGATACAACAATAATGATAAAAACCTAAACAGTTGATCTTGTAAACCAACTTCAACCAATTAATAATTAGAACTATGGCAAAATAGTGTTTAAGTCTTCGAACTATCTTTGGATTAAGTTTGTTATAATATATTTTTAGCAACATTAATCACAACATCTAAACATTTTATTAATTTGTTGCATCTAAATAAAAAAGTCAGCCTACAATTTGAAGACCTGAAGTTGTATGATATACTACACCGAACATTTTGAATTAGTTCATCAATCATAGTTAAGTTGAATAATTGTTTTTGTAATAATATTTTTGTTGTGGATATATTATAACGTACTTGAAGTCTAAGCGAAATCTGTGTATTATTTTAGTATTTCCTGAATGTAGACGGTGATGTTTTCTGTGCAGCTTAATAAAAACAAGTAGTAGTGTCTACAGATAAAAAAAAAAACAATGGAGAAAAAGGGACTCCATAACCAACACAAATAAAACACACTGCACAGCGCACCTATACCCAGAGCTGCTATTACTGTAAAGTGTAAATACTAAAAATAAATAAAATTAAAAAAAATCTAAACATCATTATTGTTTGCCATAAAAAAAATACATACATATATATAATATAGATTTTGTCTTTCTACAATGTCAATAACACCTCACCGTAGTTTTTTTATTGTGAAAATTTTTTTCTTCATACTTTTTTTAAACATTATTATTTATAAAAAAAAACATCCAAGCGGCTTTATGACGCCATTTAAGCCAGTGAAAAAGTCTTGCGTGTCAGGGTGATTCGTTAAAGATTGTTATTTTATTTGTTACTAAAAATGCAAATTTTAAAAATTTGTCATTTTATTTTGCTCGTTGGGTTTCAATGGGTTGGGCCCAGTAGTACTTTGAACTCTGTGGATCAGCCTGTAGTCTATAATACTGATAGACTTAGCAAATACAAGGTCGAGGAAAATGAGGGAATACCAGTCAGTGGGTAGTACCGGTCAATGGCATATCTCTTAAAATATGATAGCTAAAATTTAGATGAGCACATAATTTGATAACTGTTGTTACCAAAACCTAATACCAGATGTTTCAAAATGATAAACGACTTTTTTCCCACCAAAAAATAATTATCAATTTTGTTATCACTTTTGTTGTAATATTTTTCCAAAATAAAACTCATCTCAAATTAGGAATTTCTAATTTTTTACTATACTGACTGATTCTAATGTATCACCATCTGGCAGGGATTGCATTTATTTGCTCATAATATACCTAAATATTACAGATTTTATGTAAATACATGTGTTTAAAAAAAAAGTCTGATTGGGGTAATAACGGTCCAACATAACTTAGGATGTAATAACCTTACCCATCGTGTTTTACATGCGTTTTTTGGCGACTGCGGTATTACCATAATAACATAAATCAACTTAATTTTAAAAATCTAAAACTCATATTATACATAACACCTAACAAGTTTGTAGTTGGATTTCAAGAAAGAACACGGGTGTTCTGGACTTTTAGTTCCAAAGATATTTCAATTCGGCCCCATATCCCGGTGGACTTATCCGTCTAGTATGCGGCGACTTAGGGATGGGCGCGGATATTATTCAGATTAGATTAGCCATCAATTTTTTCTATGCATTTGTTTGCCTTAAAGCATTCGGCGGGGACGTGTGCGAGGAAAAAGCCCATCTGTCGTCGGTTCCAGTGGTTGCCTACGGTGGACACATGACGTCACGGCAAGGCGACCGGCACAGGAGGGCATCAACACGCGAAGGTGGTATTATAGGAGGTATAACATAATATAGCAATAGCTGTATACCGGCGACCACCTCTTGTCTGTCCGTCTGCCAGCGGGTTCTTACTTGTTTTCAGTCTTGCACGACAACCCGCGAGTTCCACAGCACGTCGATCGCAGTGGACGCCGGTTTTTATTTCGATTTATAATAATAACGAAGTAATAGTTTTTTTAGATTTTTTTTTTTTTAAATCGCTTAAATTAACAAAAAAATATTATTTATAATAATATCACCGCTAATAATAATTAACAAACGAATTAAATAATAAAAAAAAATATATTACCAACTCGGATACGGCCGTATATATATATATATATAGTGCGTTTCGAAAAGGAAAAGAAAATTGTGCGATTTTTTGAATTTTTTTTTGTGTTCGAGTGTTGTGATATAATATATATATATATATATACATAAATATATATGATGGACGCAGAGCAAACGTGATAGACTATGCCCAACTACGGTTAGTAAAAATTTTATATCCTTAAATTTAATAGAGATGATAGGTATTAGGATTTCCCCAAAAAAAAAAAATCCAAAAATTCCCTCTGGCTCCCCCAAAAACGGCGAACCGTGTGTGTTTATCATTAAGCATAGCGATGGCCAAAGTTTGTTTATCTGAATTTCCTGTTGTTTTAAAACATTTCAATTGGGTAACTGACAAAAAACGTATTTGTTGATAGGAAAAATGATCAAAATTTATGTTGCAATATTTTTATTATAAAATTACCTAATTTTATAATGAAATGTCTCTTTTTTTTTTGGCTTGGTAAATTTTCTGTGTACCAAATTTAAGTCTCGTGACCAACCAACTTGATGATTTTTCTGGTAAATTACTTCATTTGTATTTTATTCAACGTGGATATTCATTTGTTTTTGTTTTCGATGACATCAGAAAAGCGCAAAGCTGATCCGGTCGACTTTCTAATAGCGCAAAACCGATCCGAAAGTGATATAATATTATTATTCGTAGTGCCGAGACCGGTTGGGTTCCTAACCCGAGTGTGTGTGTGTGTGTTTCTGAAATTTTTTTAGAGAAAATTCATAATAATAATAATATCATCGTGGACACGGTTTACTAGGCGCATACCGCAGCCCTCTGGCTGTGTATAGGTACCTAGGCGAACAGCTCCTCGAGCAAACGTGACTGTATTTATTGTTGTTATTACTATTACTACACCGGTGCAACAGTTGGTCGGGTTGTGTCAAATGTTCGGAAACAATTAAGTAATTTATGCGCGTTCGAGCCTTCACAATATGTTACAGTATAATATAATATAATATTTCAACCGACTTGTCTTGTACAGAGTAGTAGTAAGAGAGTAAGAGTGTCGTAGACCGAGGAAAAAAAAAATAAAGTTTCGAAGGTTTCCGCGCCCCCGCGTTATCCGTCGACATTATTCAAATAATAATAACGATTTGTTTTCCTCTTCTGACCGCGTCCGAAGGTACTTAAACCAATAAGATATTATTATAATAAAACACGTGTCTCCTCTACGTTTCAACGTGTTCGTTTTGATGTCAAGGATAGTAATTTTTAGTAGGAAACGACATACCGCGTTAGGGCACTCCGCAGGGGGATGGTCGCCCATGATATAATACTGTTATTTTCTTAACCATAGGTGTATCATATTATTGTATGAAACGCACGAGAAAACAGTTCAAGTGGGTACAAACTTCCTTACTTTAGTTTGTTTACAAGTCTCATTTGCAACGGTAGTTTTGCTAAATCGACAATTATACCTATATATATATACAGGGTGAACCGTTCAATTGATTGGTACATTTTTCCCGACAAAAAAATAGCCTAAAAACATGTCTCGGATAATATTGCAATAATATTTCCTGCATGCTCTAAATTAAAAAAATATATATATATAGATTAAAAATTACTCATAAAACGACCACAACCTCTACACTTCTGGTGGAGCTTGGAAAATGTACTATCTAGAGGGAAGGTTTGGGGGCTTTTATTTTTTATTTTTTTTTTTTGTATTATGTATAACGTTTCAAATTATCACTTCCGACGTGTACACACCGTGTGTGCACAGTCAACAGGTGGTGTTAACCGACAACAGGTCCCCGGATTATTATAAACCACAAAACCTATGTGTTTCGTAGACTCCCCCGTTTTTTCAACGGTAACAACCGAGGCCTGTATATTGAAAAAAAAAACATAATAATAATAAAAAATGATATTAATCATACGTGTAATTCGTACGATGAAGCGTTTACTCGACAAAGTGGGAGGGGGCGGGGGCGGGATAGGAAAAAATCTACAAAAAAAAAAAAAAATAAACAACGTGTAAAAACGGTTACGGAAATTGTTATAAATTCACGCTTCATTAGCACCGGGGCAGACACGCGTGGCTTCTGTAAGACAACATATTTATAATAATATTAACAATAATAAATATTGGTCCGCGAAACGGTTAATATTTACTTTTTTTTCTCTCTATATTTATTATTGTCTAACGTTCCCAAAATAACACTGTGTGTGTGTGTGTGTTGTATTTTGCAAAATCACGGTAGGCACACCACAGGAAATGCGTCTGTCCGTACTAGGACGACCGTGGGTCACTGCAATAGGTAGTTTATACACATAGTTTTTTTTTTTGCCTTACTGTGGGAAAAAAATGCCAAATTTTTGCACCGGATACGCCCACTTTTAAATTAAAAAAAAAAATAAAGTGTATCTGCAGGCGGTCTGTCGACTACTTAGGATGGTCCGATTTGAGTTCTGTAAAATTATAAGAGCTGTTTTCTTTAACAACTTTACTAGGTTATGTAGGAAACGGATTTTTTATCTGGTGCCCTTTGTATGCAAAAAAAAAAAAAAAATTGGGGCTTAACCTTTGAAAAAATTGCAATTTTAATTCATTTAATTACAAGAAGTAGTAATAAGTAGCCAAACGATCAGTGGACATTTTTACCGGCTTGTTGGTGTAAAATAAACCCAAATGGCTTTCATTCACAAAACAAATTATAGCTTTTACAATTAATTAACCGGTAAATCTGTTGACACGGTCGAAATCGGTTAAAACCTCTTTTTAATTTAATCCAATTGACAATTAGAGTTTTTGTTTCAATATTCCAAATTTTCAGCGATATTTTATCATGTAGATAAACCGTTGTCTCTCGCAAAGAAGAACGCATCTTTATGCATTTGTGTCAAGTCATTACACCTTATTTTTTTTTCTTTCTACACACACGACACTGTTTTCTAGATTAACGACATGAATACACTTCAAGTGTTTAATGCTCGTTAGCGGTTAGTACGGCGACAATATGTAGTAACCGATTCAATGACTTTATATGCGATATTGTTACAAAAACAATAGAGGCGTGCGCTATTGGCTTGCATTGTACCGCTATGATAAATATTTTGTCATTTTTCTGTCTAATTGATTTTCGCTACCGTTTCACTCACTAACGACTTGGCAGACTTGTTTACTCGCCGTTGGGTCCGTGTGCATATTTACATTATCCAAATAGAGCTCTATGCAGGTGTATAGGACTAGGGTGGCCGACCCCGTGCAATGGGGCAGTGTAAGGTTAATACTTTATGAAAACTGTTACAATGTAATACTATTAATATGAATTTGATGGCTTTACGAGGCTAGGTAAGCGAAAAATACACACTAGTTCCGAATGGGGGGGCAGAGACGATCCAATTGGCGCGTGGGTACTTTCGAGGGAATAATATTGCGGTTTTGGCAGTTTTCACCTATATTATTATTATTATTATTATTGTGTATAATGTGTAATATAATATGGAGACTACGGTTGATTTTTGCATAGTCACGGCGCCGGGTTATAAGTGTTATTATATGCGGGCACGCGTTAAAAAACCGACTCGGTTCGCTTATACCGCAACACGTCCGCCCAGCAAAGGTAAATCATCGAGTTATCCGTTTAATTTTTGTTTTTTTTTTTACTGTAACACTATATACAAATGATATAATATACAACGGTATCGTTTGTACAATATTATACACCGGCTGTAACGTCTTCGTTGGCCTACCTTTGATGGGTCACAGATCTAAGGTGATCAAATTAAAACGCAGAGGGTAGAAATATTAAACACCGACGAAAGCGATAATGTAACAGTCGTGGTTCAGTATTATTTTACATAGGGTGCTACAGGGTGCTACATTCGAAGGCTATTGTTGTACTGGTCGGCCCCGGCCGGTGGTGAAGTGATTGATTAACAGAGCACCGTCGAGGAAACTGAACAATTATTATAATATTCAGAATAGAGCCGGAATTCCAAGACCATTGTCTTTATTGTATCGGCCAGCGTTGAATATGAAGTGTTTTTTTTTTCCTTTTCTCAATAACAATCATACGGATTCGCTCTTAAGGGTAGGGCCCGTCCTTCACGGTCACACATGCACTATGGTCTCGGCCACCGGAAAAAGCCAACCGGGCAACGATATTATTATGTTTTTCTAGTTGTAATTTCGTGTAACTGGCTGATATTCTATGTTAAACTTAACGAGCCGTCATAGTGAATTGCGCCATCGCGCCCTTGGCGACATTAAATACCGTATTATTATTATTACTACCAATCATCGCCATGTCGCTGTGTTCATATGGGTGTGTGTGGTTATTTACATTTTGTCCTATTTGTGTGTATTGAGAATAGGAAATCCCGAAAAAGAGGAAGCCGTTGCACAAGCCATGAGGGTCCCGCATTGGAAACGCATAAAAAAAATACAAGTGTTATCGTTGACCGAAAAATGATTATACGGTTGTGTGTGATGTACCTGTTGTAACCGATACTTAATTATGGCCCGCCCCTCCCCCCAATTTTGTAGTGTTTTTTTTTTTTTTTTAATATTAGGTATCTTTAGGGTCGAGTACCGACAGCTAAGTACTACCGCAAAAAAAAAAAATAACCGTTTGGTTGGTTTCATTAGAGTAACGTTTTGACCGTTCCGTCAAACTGCGGTCGGGTCGCGCATGTGTTCTGCAATAATCACTCTAGTTTCATAATAAGTATCCGTACAAGGAAAGTACAAGTTATATATTATATATTATCTACTATTAGATTGGATAATACAAATGACTAGTTGAGTTGACTAATTTCTCTAAGTTTTCGCTCTCTTCTTACATTTTTTTGCGCAACTCTCAAAAGTACACCTAAACAAGAGCAGTGGCCGTCCGTTTTTGGCAATTTCTCACCCAAGTCGAACGGCCTCGGGTTGTGCACACATAGGTTTTAATACAAATCAATGGAATGCAATCCTTTTTACAAACAGTCATGGCGGGTAATAACTATCATTGTCGGCCTTCGGAATCGACAAGATTTATATGTTGACAGGACAAAAGTCACCCGGCGAAAACGGCGCGGCCATCCGGTAGCACGTACATAATAATACATTATGGGCAAGTACTTAAAAACATTGACCTAACGCAAACGATGCAATAGGTGATGGTAATAGTCATGAATCGTTTGAA